ATGAAATTTTACCACTTAATTTATTAAAAAGGACGTTGTTAAAACGTGAAGGGAGATTTCGACGAACACTTGCCGAAATGGAAAACTTTACCTAAATTCGTACCTCTTTCAATGGATTTTAATACTTTTCATCACGCTTAATACATTAAAAAGTATTGATAAATCAGTTTACAGAATATCGTGACGTCCCTATTAATAATATTAAATCTTCGTACGTTGGTATAAGGAAGGTTTCCTATTTTTTAAAGTTAGGAATGAAGAATGTTCGTGGTTTTTTCCGATATTCTTCAAAGAATTTCAGGCACAAACTAATGAAATTTTAACTCGCCATCTATCAAACATTTAAAAATCTCACGATAATGGAATCTTTAAAGTCTTATAACAAGCTAAAACGAAATTATGCTCCATCTGGATTATGATTAAATTAAAATATCAAGCATTAAACATTGCTGAATGGGATCCTCCGGATATTCCATTGATAAAAAATAGATATTCAACATTGCACTTTTAAAAAATGAAGAGTAGGGAGAAGATATTCATATTTTAAACACTTTTCGGGCATGGTTTCGTAAACTCTCTTTATTCAAATAACATAAACAAGGTATTTGTTTACTTAAAAATAGAAAGAAACGACCGTGCTGTCAGAAAGGATCATTTTTCATCCACCGGTAGACGATTTATAAAAGAATCACCCATGTGACCAGCTGGCTCCTCCCTCGACCTTGTCCATCCGAAAAAGACACCTGGGAATAACAGGCATAAGAGGGCCACCATCACGTAAACAAGCCAATATTTTTGTTGTTTCTCCGAGTGAGAGAAGAAACGAAAGGGAAATTAAAATTGGAGTTTGTCTTTGTAGGAAGCGTAAGATTTCGGGTTCGATATCCAATTACGTGGCAGACAACGTCCATTCGGTCGTTTCTGGTCGGTTGAATTGGGTGAGTTTGAAGTAGAAAAACAACACGCTTTGCCTAACAGGCCGGCAGCGATGCACACAGACACCGGCCTTTCACTAAATTCAATAGAAGCATTACTAAGAGTCGGTTGGACGGAAAAACTTAAATACTACCGACCCGGTCAATTATAAACGGTGGATACCATTAGGGTTAGTTAGAACCAGATAGTCGAGGACCATTACTGTTGGGAACTTTTTTCTCCCTCCCTCTTTCTCCTTTCTTTCTTCCACCACTCGAGTCGGCAGCCGGTTTCTATAGCAACCAGACGAATACCCGAAAAGTTGCCATTCTGCTCCGGCTAATAAAGTTGCAAGAGATACAGATCGGTATCAATCTCATTGGCACGTAATCGCGATTGTAACGCGGGGGGGAAGCGATTCGTCTAACGTCGCACACTCGCAGGTTTATACGTCTCGTGACGGCTCCCGTGTGACAAAACGTCCCCGCATACCAAGCATACCGCACGTCCAGGTGCGGGGGACCGACGCGCACACACACCCCAGGAGGGATACGCTTTAATGACCCTCCACCCCCTTCGGGGTCCTACCCGAGAGGTATACCTTTTATAACCTTTTTTTTTTTAATAATACTTTCTTATATTTTTTCTCTCCTATGAATATTTTATCCGTCCGAATGGGAGGAAGGTAGAGAAGTGTAGAATCCGAGCTCGGCAATACCGCTCTCGTCTGTAGCGACGTCAACGACAATCTCCACCCTCGATGTTCCAGTAACAAACGACGAAGATGGCCTCGAGCGAAGTTTCACACCTGCGACCGAACCGTGGATGAGGGGAGTAAATGGAAAAGGACTCTGCTCGCGCCCCGGGCCACTAACAAACATCCTACCGGATACAATGTAGCTGGACTGGATAGACTAACCGAAAATGCATATCTATAAGCAGATAAAGATTTCTCCAAATGTATCTGGCATCGACATAGTTTCGCTGGTCGGAAAGGGGGGGGAGAGAAATAATAAAAAGGAAAACATAAAAAAAAATGACGTCTCGGAAACGGTTGGAGATCGAGTTACCCCTGTTTAAAAACTCTTCACTCTATTTCGTTTGACAAAACACTCGAAAAGAAGTAGAGCAAATATGGAGTAGGACTTTGTTCAATGGACTAGCTTCTTTCAATGGGATTCGTAATTCTCTTCTTTCCTTTTACGCTTCCCTGACTCCAAAATTGATGCCATGCGAACTTTTTCTAATTCGAAACGGAATTTTTTTTATGCATTTTATCTTTATACTTTAATTTTCATTAAATCGTTTACGAAGAAAATATTCTTGTCTCCACCTTATTTACTACATCACTTTACAGGAAAGGACGGTAAAAAAAAAGCGTAAATCGCGATCTACCGATTGGTAAATATTAATAAAGAAAATAATTACAGAGAAATGTGGCAGAAAAACAGAAAAGAAATTTCAAAATTACATTATTTCGAAAAACTATATTTAAATAATAGTAGTTAATACAACAACATTATATAGTCTTTGGGATGTCAATTATACGAAGGGTGCATATTATATCATTATGTGAAGGAGAAAATATTTATTTTCTCATTCGACACGAGGAATGCATTCTTATATAAGATACGTCGAGCAGCGGTAAGTGACTGGTAAAAGTAGAGATTGCGGGTCACCAACTGATTACCGAATGTCAAGGGTAGGTGTCGACGAACGTTGCAGATATCGGTATAATTATACCGCAGAAAATTATATCTGGTGTGTAGCCCGCCAAAGTACCGCCTCCTCGTCACATCCACACCCTGCATCTTCATTTCGCTACCTTCTCTTATCTCGATCCGTGATCGGAAGTGGGTAATGTCGCGCGATGCCAGCAATAACTACACGCAAAATATAGTCGATTCTATCGTCCCGCGTAACTTTTCTTCAATGTTTTCAACATTAGTATCAAAGTTTTTAGTAACGCGGCAAAGATTTCATCTTGGTCATTTATTTTTTTTTTAACGAATTGCTCTGAATGTCCCACGTGTTGCAAACTACTACAATACGAAATTAACAGGATGTATCTCGTTAGTTTTGCCTTTCGTAAGAGGAATAACACGATTTTTTTTGTTACCTTCGAGAAGCGAGGATGATTTTCGATTGGTTCTCGACAGGTCAAACTAAAGTATGCGGCCTTCGACTAATAAATTCCACATAGCTAATAGAAGACATTAAAAGTGTCTAAGTTGGACCAGAGCGTGAATTACTTCCCTTAAACAGCGGGATAAGAACTGCAGGGGGTTCTAAACAACTAACATCAACGTTCAAGTTTTTAGTCCAGAATATTTGTGGCCCTTTGGGTTGGTTTATTCCACCTTTTTATTACCCTCCAGTCAAATTTGCCGAGTCCAGTTAACTATCTTGGCAAATTTTAAACAACTGCCACCATAAAAAATAACACGGAACCGATTTTTTTTTCTCTCTTCCTTCTTTCTGCAACGAACAGACCACCAAGACGGGCAAAATTGATTCATTTACTAAAAATATATCATAGAAGATTCTCGTGGGAACCGAGATATTTGGCATAGTAAAATTTTGTGAGAAAATTACCAAATAGAGTGATATATACAGAAACGTGAAGCACGAGCTTAAGTATATTCGCTCTTTAAATGGATAGATCACGACATTACGACACCTCGACCCGGCTACCGCCGATCGTAAGTAACCTTTAACCTTTCCACCTTTAGGTATCACGTCACGACCGTACGACACCCATTCCGAGGTCGCTGTCCCTGCCAGATCTTGCCACCTGGTGCCCGAAACAGGAAACACGTTATCCGAGGAACACAATGAACGACAAACATCTATGGGACAATGAAAAAGTAGATAAACTCGCATCAGTGTATTTATCTTTCTATTACTGTGCACACGCAACTTCACGAAATTTCGCGTGAGTCATTTCCTGCCACGTTTAGCATCACGTAAAACGTACTCGCCCCCATATTTTACTAGAACAATATAATAATTAAACTAGAAAGAAGCCACATAAATTACGTCCCTCTAACGCATTCCACCATTTTTTTTTTCCTACCGATCCACACGGGACGACGCCATTTTTTTTCATTATTATTATTATTATTATAATTTTTTCTCTTTTTTTCGGGGGTACAGAAATCGGTAAATAGGGAAGATAAGGAAATTGTGCAGTTCCTGATGCATTAAACGATTGAGTCGTTTAGCGTTTGAGCGATCGATATATCAAATTTCGTCTTTCTACCCCATTATCTTTACCAACTGTATTGTAATTATGTACTTACTTTACTAGTTCATCCTTAAAAAAAGGAGGAGGAAGGGAGGGATGGGAGGAGAAAAAAAAAGATTTCCGCGTTTCATTCTTACCCCACGGTCTCGTTTGGTGCCGATAGTGAGCGAGCCATTAGCTTCCTCGTTCGGTCATTAACGACAACCACAAGTGGGGAATATCTGGTCTCGGGATATTAAGTCTGCAGGTTTATTAATTCCCTGGCTGTCTCCTCCCGCTCCCGCAAACCAGAACAGATTACCCAGATCCTAACACCAAATCGATACCAGTAACACATCTCCCTCCATCTTAGCACCCCCGTTATGACAGAATTCCCACTTTAATACGTGGGATGGAGCACTTAAAACACTCGACACTTCACGGATAAAATATACCATCTTTATTATCAAATTACAGACATGTCATTAGATTTTTATATAACGAAATTCGTTTTAACGTTTTCGGTACTTAACACAATTCCTTATATAGGCGTGCAAAATTGCACGAGTAATTCAATGACATTCGGGATGATAACAAAAAATTGCATAAGGGTTTCCCTCGTTATAACGTAATTCCTTTGTGCTTCCGATATTTACCATAGTTTTCCATGTTTATATAAGAAATGGTGAATTTAATCGAGCATTATAGGGAAATAAAAAATATAAACAAATTGTAACAGGTGTATTCGATTTGTTTAATTGTTTCCTCGATGTAACGCAGTTTTAACACACTCTACACATACAATAGCTTACTTTGATATGTTAAATAGTGCGCTTAATCGACTCTTGACTCAAGGGAATAAAAATATAAACAATCTTTATTATCAAATTACAAGTCCATTCCGATTTCGTCAACAAATCTTCATGTACAAGACGCACCTCGACAGTTTTAATCATTCAACAAAACAAAAAAAATGACCGATGTAAGAGGTCGAAACCGACGTCCAATTCACTAATGACGGTGACAAAACGGGACAATTGTGGCAGAGGATCGAATCTTCCACGTGCGAGGGGAGGAAAAAGGTAATTGGCAAAGTCGAGGGATAGTGCAGGGAGTGATGAGAGACAGTCCAAAGGAGGAGGAAAAAAAAGTTCTGGCTGGCTGATTAGGCGAGGGACACGACGACAATGCAGGGCCACAGATGTAATCTCGTCTTCTGTATCTGGACCCCTTTCTCCCGTTTCGACATTGTGACAAACGGTAGGCGTGCAGAATGTCTGGTGTGTGCCACCGTCATCCGGAAAGAAACGACAGAATTTATCTGGAAATCATTAGAGAAGCATCTTGCGGCACTTTAAGAATTTAAGACTCATTTTAAAATATTAAAACATAATTAAATGTAACGATAACGTTTTATTAACAAAAACATGTCGTATGATACATTGCCTCCTAACGGCATCGACGTCATTGAGTTTTGGCTTGGTCCACCAGGCGATTAGTGGCCTTCCAATAGTAGATCATCTGAACGGCGATGACGAAATTGGCCAAACTGGCCACGACGTACGTCACGATGATTAAATCATCGCCGGTCTCTTGCACCGAAGTGAAGATTCTGGCGCAGGAACCCACGAAGAGGAGGAAAACAGTTCCAGCCGACAATTGGCCCGTGTGCCCGTTCTTGTAATTCTGTACAGCTTGCACCATCTAGTGAGAAAAAACAGAGATTTTTCTTTAAAAAAAGACAAGAGAATCTTCTTCCGTCGGTTCAGATGTGAGTCAGCGGTCCCGACTTAAGATCTCGTTATTCTTCAACAAAAGAGCCAACGTCTCACACATGACGTATTACGGAATAGACTCTTAATTACGTCCCACCCACTTATGCTATTACCTGATGACGTCAGCGGCCATCTTACCCGGTGCCGTAGGGGGGTAGCAACCTTTGATGTGGCCGTCGGAAGGACGGCTTGTTTAAAGTTGCAGTATTTGTCACCGCGGCCGACGCAGCTGACGATGACGTCGGATGCGGACAAATTAGCCCGCCGACGGTTACGTCTTCGCACTACCACACCCGCCAAAGCGTGCTCCTGACAGGAGGTCAGTGGGTGGTCAGTTCATTAGGGTTTTCATCAGCCCAACAAATTTCCCTGCCCGCGTGACGGAGGGCGAGACCAATAAGAAAAAACTCCCACAATGAATCCATTTAGATACAGTCTAAATGCCCCGTCTGGAGGGGAAGTTATTTTTTAAAAAACCACCCGAACGAACAGAGACGGTAAAGAAAATTTGCGATTGTCGAATGGTATATGCAAAAAGGGCAGTGAAAAGTCGAACGATAAATGGGGATGCTACCGTCTCGAGTTTAAAAACGTCACGTTCTGGTCAAAACTCGAGGGACGAAGAGGTGCCGAGGTCGCGACCCCGACCATTGGATTATAATAATTAGAGCGTCATTAAGCCACTCGCCGATAACCCTAAATCACGGTACGCCCTCTAGCCCCGGGCTTCCGTTGATTGTTTTCCAACGGTCGGGTGCTGACAGGCCAAATCCTAGAGCAAGAAACGTCGAGGGGAGAAACAAACACAGAAGAAAGTTCGGCTAAATTGCACGGAGTTCCGTTAACAAGAAGGCCTAAGATGACAACGTGGAGGATCTAAAGCCTTTCGGTTCGGTAAATCTGGATTTGCAATTGCTATAGGAGGCTCTATTGGGGTCTATACAATAAGAGCAGAAAAGGCGCTGGGGCGCGTATCCTCTCTACTTCGGCTCCTCGTGTAACATCATCGTTTAATTACGCGCCCTGCGCCGTCATCTGGCATAGCAATAGGCCCGCGGCGAAACCCGATACGCGAAGGGTTCTCGAGATGAGTGGGAACAATAAGAAGGCCAACAAACGAAACAATAACGTTCTAAGATTAACATATGAAAAGGAAATTGGGAAACATCACAGAAAGCGCTCCAAATTAAAAAAAAAAAAAAGAGCGACGACGACAACGACTGTGGTGATGATGATAATAATAATAATAATAATAACAACAGAAAAATCCGCCTCCACGCACCCAATTATCCCTTATTCCAGTTTCACGCGTCCTACACCTACATCTGAGTATTATCGTGATTATTCCCTTCCCCAACGGCCCTTATTGGCTGGAGGTGAGCGGCAAAATCACGCCGTTTCGTGTCGCTATTGTCGCGCCAGGTACAGACCCCGGGGCTCGGTCACGTGACGCTGGATTATCATGACAATGTCGCGTCACGTGGATCGCGTAGACTTAAACGGCGAGAAGCAGTGCGTTTCCGTCGTAACCAAACAAATGGAATAATTTGCGAATCGATCAAGCAAACAATCTCTCTATTCTAATTCGAACAAAATAACAGAAGTGGAGAGGTTACGAAATAGCATTTTCTGTTTGGATTGTGATTTTATAACGAGTCACGCCACCGCTATTTGTCTCGGACGAGGCAGGACAAGCGAAAAACAGTCGAAACATTAATAAAAAATAAATAAATAAATAAATATTAGGAACCCAATCGGTGACGTCCGACATTTCTGTTGGAGGTTTGACAAATGGGGCCCGCTGAAACTTCGGATGCGAAGGTATCCCCTACTGGGATTCTTGTATGGGAATGTCGAACCTTCCCCACTAGTCGAGAAACGAGCGGGACGGTATGAAAGGGAACTGCAGGGGAGGGACAGAATAGTGCACGCGCGTTCCACCTTCCTGGACTCTCGTGAATTAATTTCTTCCCCAACCGGAGGTAGGAAAATCACCGTGTTTACCGGGTCACATTGTAATTTAGAAAATTGTAGCCCGGACGCTCCCAAATCGGTACTGCCGGTTTAACGCATTCTACCGGACAAATATATACGAATCGAGCAAGAGGGGTTCGTAATTTCGACGTCGGGTCCTCTTCCACAGTCGGAAAAAAAATCTTTCCAATTCGTCGGCGTGGAAAATGGCCACGTGGTTTCTGACCCATCTCATCCATCATCACACGCTAGTCCCGTGGATCACTTGAAGATTCAACACCTGGACCCACCTGTAATTGTCAGGGTCATCTTTCGCCTTCCCAAAACGTCGGAACGGGAATACTACCGCCGACTTTTTTTCTCATTTACGTCATCGTCACCTCTAAAATAAATGAAGAGGAGAATACAGAAACCGAAAGCAAACCGATATTGGCAGCTATTAATTTAAACATCAGAGCAAAAAAGAAAGCTGTATACGTTAAAAAACACCCCGATACTAACTACGCCCCCAGACATGTCGGTGGGGGAGGGGCCGAGGACCCCCGGGAACGGCAATGTAATCACTATACCCCCCGACCGAGGTGGGAAAAAATGATTGACCCGAAGTTCTACAGGTGTAGTAAAGCCCACGTGCGATAGTCGTCCAGGGTGTGGTCCAGAAAAGAAACAGGATAGCACCAGGCTGATAGCTTTCTTGTAATGAGTCACTCAGCGCGGTTCTTCCATTTTTAAATAATTAACCCGATAGGAACAAGTAATTTACGTCTTTCTTGGGTCGAGAAAGAAGGGAAAAAATCCCAGACAAGTTCCCAAGCGGAGGGATGCCAACTCCTCCTCGATAGATACGGGCACGAGGAAGGGCGGTACATTGGCAGACCTCTATTAACTCACTGTCCCTTGGCGAAATTACTGGTCTTTGTTTTAAAAAGTTACAATCGGTAGTAATAGCAGGTTTAGTTTCTTTGATGGATGGCAAAAGGTGAACCAGGAGCCCAGATAATAACTTGGGGCATAGGTGGTGTATGAAACCCAAGGGACCCATTCGACCTATTATCGGTATACGAACTCATCTGTTACACATTACAACACCGACGTGGGCGTCTCGCCAAATTTTTGCAAGATGCAAGAAAAAAATTTCTTCCAGACACTTACTTTACCAACTACGATTATGGGCACATTGAAGGCTTGCATGTTCCACAAGAGATCCTTCGAAGTGGCACCGCCAAACAGTAGATACAGGATAAAACTGTACAGGGCCACGAACATATGACTGGCATTCCTATAACCGTTGTAGAAGAGGATCAGATATGCGATGAAGGCCGTTTCAATAAGCAGGAAGAAACTCTCCCCCCATGCACTGAAAAAAAATTAAAAGATTATATCTTTAAAAAGTTGGAAAATTCAATGTCATGTTAGAAAAAAAGAGTGATAAAGAGGAGGCAGGCATCTTGATTTCGAATTCTATTACGTCATTTCATTTTTTAAAATAACTTTCATAGTTAAGGTCTTAACATTAAAAACTTTGCGAAAGACGGAGGATCGAGCAACGCCATCTGGCGCCTGACGACGTTATTAAGAATGATACAATTACGCGCGATTCGAATCGGGACTGCGTGACCAAAATAAAAAAAAAGAAGAAATGTAATTATGCAGTTTAATTACGGTAGAGGCGCACGTCGGGCCCTCTGACCCGCAACGGGGGTCGTTCGGCGCAGACCAACAATTTATCTAAATCTTTTGTTTTTGAAGTAAGAGCCGCCTTTCCGCCTCATCAGCCGATTCGTCCGACATTTTGCTCTCGCGCCATTTCCCGCGCACAAAACACGCCATGTTTCATCGGTAATTAGACATTGACACTAATTACTATATTACCGAAGGAATTCTTTCCCAACCCTTTCGGTATGGTCGCTCTCACAATGAAAAAGCGCGGAGGGGTAAAGGGGAGGACCAGAGGGAATAACAATAAAAATAAATAAAAAAAAATGCAGCAGCAACCTTCAGTCCGGTTTCTCCTTCTTGTAAAGGCCTCACGTCATCTGTCAGTGGCCGGCTCATTAAACCGTCGCCCATTAAACCCCGTCGAAACCCCTTCGGGCGGCGAAGGGGGAAGCGAATGGATGAGGGGGAAGGAATTAGTCGGTCTTGGAATTTAATTGCGCCCCCTCCGCGCACTCTTCTCCTACTTCTACTTTCTTCTTCTTCTTCCATCGCTAGTTTCGCTCCCCCTCCACCGACCCGCCGGATGAAAAATTAATGGTAGCTAATTGCGGACGGCCCGGGGAACGCTTATGTTGGTCGGGGTGAATAGAAACTCGGCAGGGACCCTTTTGCCCCCCTTCTTTCGCTCGTCGTCGTCCTTTTGTGTTGACCGCTAGGGGAGACCGGAGCGAAACAATTGGACCGCCTCACGTGACTTACCCCCTTCCTTTCGCCGAAACTTTTGTGGTTTTTCCGCTCGGGATGCTCTGGTTTGAAGGAAACACAAATGGAGATTAAACGGACCTGTGGATGGCCCGACTGAAAACAAACTCTTCGCTATCAGCTAAAAATCTCTCTCCATCACGCTTTAAAAATTTCTGCATTACGAACTGCAATCATTTTTCAAACGTCAGAATATACAAAACTGCCAATTGCAAAAACAAAGTTTTCTCTCTCCATAAATTAAGATAAAAATTCCGAACACTACAGTACTCGACACTAGCAGTCAACTACTAACTCTACCGCCATCTATGAGAAATATTTTTCATTACTTTCTGTAATAAATAGACCAACTAGCAAATTTTAATTAAAATAACTGACAGTTTCAATTCGTTCATTCCACGAAATTATTTTTCTCTAATTGGCAATTTAAAATCATTCGTTTCTATTTACGTGCATAAATTAATTACATTTAATTAAAAAGGATTTTAAAAAATTAATCCAATTAAATTGTTCATATTTTATTTATTTTTAAGAACATTCGAAAGATGCAATTTAAATTCTAACGAATCACTTTTTAATATTTAAAAAAAAATGAAAAGAATCTTTGAAAAATTTAAAATAAAAACTTTAATCCATTTATATTTTAATTGAAAAAAAAATTATAATTCCATTTATAACACGTGAAAAACCGAATAAATATTGGTAGATTTTGAGGAAAACAAGTTTAAGTACCGTATAATTCAGGTGTTAAAATATAAACACTCCATTTCTTGTTTAATTTCGACAAATGTTGCTATAAACCTCGATAGTTCAGCTTGAACTAGGCTGAGAAATATCCTATTTAGTTTTTAACGATTACATACAACACAAACAAACGAAAGCTACTGAAAAAATATAACTGAATTATATTTTATATTTAATCATTTATTATTAATAACTTTATGCCCGTACATTACCAGTCGACCCCCCTATAACACTGTTGATTATTCCGTTTTATATGAATTCCATGTTGTACGAGTCACTTAGATTTTACAAATACATGAGCTGTTCACAGCCCGGCACACGTATTTGTAAAATATAAGTGACTCGTACAACATGGAATTCATATAAAGCGGAATTATCAACAGTGTTATAGGGGGTGTCGACTGTATTGTTATTTAACACTAGCATAAAACTCCATACTTTAAAATTACAATTGTTACAAATATTAACTAATAATTACACTGTAATTTCTTTCACTTACTTTCGAAAACTTCTATTTTATCAGTCATACAATTAAATGTTGGTTTGAAAAATTATTTGTTCCTATAATGTAACAATTTTTTTAACAGTGTTATGTGATTAATCATAAAAATATTACCTACATTTGTGTACTTCTTATGATTTTTAAACATGCATTTAAAATACAAGTATACATTACATCACTTTTAGTTGTTTTTACTTCTACATATTGTTTACAAGTGTTTTGTTTATGTAAAAATAAATGTGTTAAATAACAATGATAATTTATATGATGATGATGATGATGCATCATCCATCATTATTTTTTAAACAGAAAATATTTTGTCGTCTTATTTGAAATTTAAAAAGATGACAGAACTTTAATTATTTTTAAATATGCTTTCAATTTGCTTAACATTTTTATTTTTCAAACGATTTTAGAGTGGTAAACAGAAGACATTTGTTATAAAATATTGAAAACAATCGTATTATATACTTATAAATTTATTTTTATAAAATATTATTAATTAATTAATTAAAATTCAAATATTTTAAAAAATAAATCGAAGATTTACTCTGTTATTTCCGCTTCATCGCTAAATAACAATAGTTAAGAGTATTACATATTACGCAGGAATATTTATATAAACACAATAAAATCTGGGATAATTATTTTCCCATCGAATTTCTGAGAAATATTATGAATTAAAACTATAGATAATGTTATTTACAGTCTGTATTTATCGTGCAATTGAGATAAAAATGCAAATATTTGTGCAGAGAAGTGGCTTTATTATTATTTTTTTTTTGCAATGATCTTTTCTATAAGCATATTATTATATGTATATTGTATACTCGAAGATAGTAAGGAATCTATCGACAGAAAATGGGTTTAAAATTTTTATTTTAATTTAACATCACTGATATAAAAAGTCTCAATTCCTAAAATATCTTAATCATTCATGTTTTCTACGATTTATAGTTATAAAATCAACCAAGTATACTAATTATATATAAAGTTTTCATACTAAAAAAATCCAATTTTCTTCTCCAAATGGGGGAGGGGGAAATATATGGAAAATGTGAGAGTGAATTAGCAAGGAAGACAGACATTACGCAAAGGTTTCCAATATGGCAGTGCGCTGACAATGGACAAACAAGAAATCCGTTTTTCAAGAAAAAATAATAGCTTCACATATTTATTTAATTTAAACAAATTTTCTTACATATATATATCTTATAATTAATAAAAAAAATATATAAAGTTCGACTAGACCTTATTCCCTGAACATCCTGAAAATTAGGCTCCTATTACTAGAAAAAAAAACATTCAAAATTTATCTTAAATTAGTATTAGTAACAAAAGTATAACATATAAGTCAAAACAGAGATTTCGGGAAAAACATTGGATTAATGTGGTACAATATGTGAAAATATTAGACAACACCACTAAAAACTAAGGAATTTTGGCAAAGTCAAAGTCTAAAATTCTACTAAAAATTTTTTGAGAGTTTAACCAGTAAAAAGAATAGAAAGCTGGTTCAAATTAGAATCTAACAAATGAATATACTATATTTTAAATTAAATAAATATAAAGCAAATTGGTTATAAACAGGTTTCTCCCCCTAAAAATCACTAATCTATTTATTGTAACTAGAACAAATTTAACAGAACAAAAGTATTTATGATATTACACATGATGAATATTGTTGGAAATGAGATTTATTATGGATCAAATTCACTAGTCTAATCTAAGAAGATTAATTTTCTTTTATTCTCCTTACTTGCCTAGGTGACTTACTAATTATTTTAAACCTCAAAAATTTTCTAGACCCAAGTTCTTTTCAATAGTTATAGACTACTTTTATAAGGAAATAACCTAGAATATGTATGTAATTTATTGAATTAAAAAACAGTATGTAGTATTACTTTTATGTACAGTATGTATATTAAAAACATTATATGTAACAGTTTATGAGTTTTCTATCACAAGTAGGATAACATTAAATATAAAAAATATCACATGATATTAAATGATGGTTTATTTCTGAATACAGTAAGTCTATCTGCACTATATATTACTCTCCTCAAACATAATATGAACTTTATGATAAAAGACTTGTAACAGGATGCAATACGGTAAAAACATATAACAAGTAATAAAACACTAACAAAAATGGAAATAATGTAAAAAAGTACAAATAAAAGTATTAAAAAGAGGGAACTAAAACAGTTTAAAATATCTAAATTAAAGTAAAAATGGATTATGTAATAAAACTATAAAATTTAGGAGAAAAGAAGTAAAACTAGATGCATTAGTTGTGTGAACTAAAAATTTACAGTGATGCTTAAATTGCTGAAAACTGCAATAAAAAAAAAATGTTCAACAGGACAAGAAGTATGAGATCCTCTAAAACAGAATGATCTAGAGATGTTAAGTCTATAACTGAGAGCAGAGAATGTTTCATTTCTACTTATGTTTCTAGGAATTATTAATCCTAATTTACGAAGTGGTACTAAAACATTAAAAAAATTTATAACAACAAAATCCTGTTGAAATATTCAATATGGAAGGATAATGAAAGAGTTCTAGCCTACAGCTGACAACTTCTCCAGAGTTGGTGAAAGGCAAATTGGAAAGTTTATTTAATAGAAGATAAATTTTGTTAAGTTTAGTAATAACTTTTGAAGGAGACTATAAGCTGCAGATGACAA